GACTGCTGCCCCTGCTCGCCCCCTAACGGAGACTGAGCCCACAACCTGGCATGTATCCTGGCCAGGAATCAACCTGTGACCTCTTGGTTCATAGGTGGAGGCTCAACCACTGAGCAACACTGGCCGGGCCAGTCTTTGCATTCATTCTTCAAGCCATGCCCATCCTGCCTCAGGAGGGAAAGGCAGCAGGCCCGTGCTTGGGGAACAGCAGTAGACCCTGCCAGCAAGGTGGCTGCCATGGAGGTTGAACAAAACAAGAACAAAGCGTTCTCTCTGCCTCGAACACGCTTCCTCCTGCTCTTCTTCTAGCGCAGCGGTTCTCAACCTGTGGGTCGCGACCCCTTTGGCGGTCGAACGGCCCTTTCACAGGGGTCGCCTAAGACCACCCTGCATATCAGATATTTACATGACGATTCATAACAGTAGCAACATTACAGTTATGAAGTAGCAACGAAAATAATTTTATGGTTGGGTCACAACATGAGGCACTGTATTTAAAGGGCCAGAAGGTTGAGAACCGCTGTCTAATGAGTGTCTCCTGACCCTTCAGGTTCTAGCACCAACGTCTCTTTTCCAAGGAAGCCTTCCCTGATCCCCTGGCCGCCCTGAGCACCATCCCCGACCGGACAGAGCCAGCTATGGGTGGTCATATCTTGGTATAATTTGTCTTCACACACTTATGGCAGGTGTGTTTAGTGTATGTTTGAACCCATGAGACCTGGGATCTTGTGTGTTTCTCAGCTGTAGCCCTAGGTGAGTGCCTGCCTCATGGCAGATGCTCAGAAATATTTGCTAAATGAATAAACGCTCGGGCATGTGGAGAGCTCACTATCCACCCGGCGGTCACATAAGAACACATTCACACGTGCTTTCATGACCGCCTGTAGCATCCTTTGAAGTGTAGGGTGGCAGACTTGGACAATGTGGAGGAGTAGAAATTAATTCAATTCTTCTGAAAATAGTTTAACATTTTGGATAAAAGTGTAAAAAACCTTACTTACAGGAATTGACCCGTAGGAGATCATTGCTTCAGAATAAGGCAAGCACAACAGAATTCACGGAGGAGTGTTTATATCATCAAAATTAGGAAACTAGCTACCTTACTTACATGTCCACTGACAGAGTAAATTGATGCATCTATACAGTGAAACATTCTACAGCTATTGAAGATAATGATAATATCCATCCCCTTTCTCGTGTCATTGAGAAAAAGAAGTAGAGGTACAAAATAATTTGTATCATATGATCCTATTTATTTAAAACTAGTGGCTGGGTGCATGAAATTTGTGCAATCACCCCTAACTACCTCTGCCTCGGCCCCCACCACCATGGCTTTGTCCGGAAGGAAGTCGGACATCCAGAAGATGACCCGTCGACCCAGTCTAATTAGCATATTACCTTTTTATTAGTATCGATAGATCATATAGGATAGGATTGCTTAAATGGGGTAGGGAGAAGCCTTTTTCAGGAGGAGGAGATGCTTTTGGCAGACAAAAATACATAATCCCAGCCATATGCACTATACTGCCAAACTGGTCATTAAAAAACTGAACTGCTTTCTTACACCTTACACCAAATAGCTATTGCCCTTACCGCCCCCTCCCCCACCTCACCCTTAGGTTCTGCCTTCGCAGTTCACCCAGATTTGGTTCTGATTGGTCAATTTCTATGCCAATCAGTGTCTCTGGACCTACCTCCAGGCCTGATCAGAGAGACAGGGCTGATCAGCAGCCCTCGCAGAGGCCTGGAGAGAAACAGACGTGGCTGCTGGCAAAGCCCAGAGAGAAGGAGAGAGACAAGGGCTGATCAACAGGGGCCACGGAGGCTACGGATCAGACCCTGCCTCTCTCTCTGGGCCTCTCTCCAGGCCTGATCTGCAGCCCCCTCGGCAGTCAGTGCTGGGTCGCTGTGCCCGGACCAGTGACCCAGAACTTACTGCAGGACTGAC